CTTCTTCTTCTTCTTCTTCTTCTTCTTCTTCTTCTTCTTCTTCTTCTTTCTTCTCCTTCTCCTTCTCCTTCTCTTCCTCCTCTTCCTCTTTCTCCTCCTCCTCCTTCTCTTCCTTCTTCTTCTTGAGACAAACTCACACTATCCAGCTTACACTGGCCTTGAACTCACTTTGTAGCCCAGGCTGGTCTCAAACTCACAATGATCCTCCTGCCTCAGCCTCCTGAAGGCTGGGATTCCAGAAATGTGCCACCATGCCCAGCATAACAAAACTTCTTAACTTGGGGTCCCTGGACTTCTTGGGACTCTGACTTCATGAGCTTCTGGGAGTTATGCACAAGTTGCCTATAACTGTGTGTGTGTGTGTGTGTGTGTGTGTGTGTATATGTGTGTGTGTGTGTACTGTGTACTGTGTATCCCTTTCCAAGACAAGTGTGCATGTTATTCCTTGATTCAAATCCCAAAGGTTAACAACCACTCAGTTTTTGGTAAACTTTTAGCATTACTTTAAACATGATGTAGATTTTTAAGGGGACGAGTTAAGAGTACAATTCTCTGCTTGTGTTTCAGGGCCCCAAGCTTCCCGAGGCAGCCCCTGCTCTTGGCGCCCAGGCTCCCATGCAGACAACCCCAACACCACGACTTCTGGCTGAGCCCTGTCCGGATGCTGAAGCTGCAAAGGCCCTGTCTTGTTCCTTCCCGCTTTCCTCACCCCATGTCCTCCCCTGGACAGTGCTGGCAGGGACAGGCAGCTCTTTTGGAAGGTAGGTGCAAGTGACCAGGATGGCCAGCAGGGGCCATGGTGCCTGTGGGGCCTGGATGGGTAAAATCATGATTGGGCTCCCTTGGTGGCCTGAGTAGGAGGAACAGGTGACAGCAGGCTGGAGGCCTGTGTTCCAGGTCTGACCTTCCCCTCTGTGGGCCTGTTTTTCCATCTATAAAGTGGAGGGAGGTAGCAAAGAACCCCTGCATAGTTGCTAGGCAACCTTCCAGCACTGACACTATGGCCTTTTTTGATTGATGCTGGAGGCGGGGAACGGCTTGCACCCTCCTTGGCAGAAGCCTCCTGAGGGATGGATACGTCCAGACCTGACTGGAAAGGCACAGGTCATACCCACCCACTTAAGGGGAGAACAGACCCTGGGAGAAACGAAGGCTCTCAATCAGGGACCCTGTCAGCAAGTAGCATATGCCCATAATCCCAACACTCTGGGAGACTGAGGCAGGAGGACCATAAGTTCCACCCCAGACTGGGCAACTGTGCAAGACCCTGTCTCAAAAAACAAAAACAATACCAACACCAAAAAAGGACCGAGGATGCAGATCAATACAATGGCCTGGGTTCAATTCTCAGTGCCACAAAAATAAATAAATTTTAAAAATCAGGTATCCCACAAGACACCTGGGGTGGGGAGGGAAATGGAGATCCTGCTGAGGCTTCCTAGAGGTGGCAGGGCCCAAAGCCTGGATGACAGGCAGCAGCAGCCTGCTGAGTCAGAGCTCCTGCCCCTCTGGAAGAGCCCAGGCAGTCCTGGTGGAAGGACAGCCAGCAACATCCTGCCCTTGGCCACAGCAGGTCCTGGAGTCATGCCTAAAGCCCTGACCACCCTCCTTGCTCAGCAGCTGAAGACCCTCCTGGCCCATTTCTTAACCTTCTCTCTCCAGCAATTCCTCCTTCTCAACCTAGCAGGGCAAAGGCCTAGGATGCTGGAGGGGATCTACGCAGATACGTAGGTGGGGAGGCTGGCGGGCCCCTCTAAGGAGTGGGCACAGTCTTCACAGGCCCAGAAGATCCTCTCCCCTCCCACCCTCTCACCCTCTTCCCCTCCCACCCACAGATGACACAGGCATGACAATAATGGAGAACTTTCTCTGCAAAAGTTATAATGAGCCCGAGGGTAGGGTTAGTGTATGGTGGTGGATTCAGAGCCTGGCCCCTCCACACACTGAGGAGGAAGAGCAGCAGCATCCGGGGCTTGGAGAAAGATAAGTCGGCACTTGGGGTGGCCCAGAGGCCCAAAGGCAGGGAGAAGGGAAGAGTAGCAGGCAATGAACTCTCAGTGTCCTACAGTGGGAGAGGGACAGCCCCCCTTCACACCCCAGCTCTGAACACATACCCAGATGGGCACCCCACTTGGACAACCAATGAGGTCTTTGGGGATTCTTTCCCAACCCTAGCCAAGGGGACCCAGGAAGGAGCTGAAGGCAGTGGCCATCTCCCAGCAAGGGCTACTTCCCAAGCTGAGGTCAGAGACTGGGGGGCACTGCTCATACCTGTGTGGGTGTGGGTATACAGCAGGTCTTGAAGGACTGTCCCATCTCCATGACCTTGGTCTTGTGGGAAAACCCTGAGGACACACTCTGAGAAGTGTGTCCTCTGGGCTGGCCTTTGCCAAGTCTCATTGCCACACAGAGCTGGGACACACAGCACGTCTCTCATGGGGTCTGCCTGCACCCAAACCCTGGCTGTGCCCACATGCCTATCAGAGTCTGGAGATTCTGAGGCAGTTGGAAGATGCCATTCTCCAAAGAGTTATGCCCACCAGGCCTGGAGACCATAATGCTGTGGCCTGCAGCTCTAGCACCGTGTGTCCAGTGCCCTGGCCCTTGGGGTCCTGGAGGGGCCAGGCTGCACAGCAGAGAAGGGGGGACTGGAGGAGGACAGGCTCAGCTGACCCAGTCAGGTCCTCCAGCTCCGGCCATGGCCGGTGGCCTTCTTGTGTGTGGGGTGGGGTAGAGACAGAAAGGCAGGGCATTTGGCTGAAGAGTCTAGCTGGAAACCTCCCCCTCTGGGGCTTGTGGGAGGGGAGGCAGCCCAAACTCTTCCCTTCAGGAAAAAGGAGGAAGCAAGCAAGCCTCTAGCCTGAGAGGATAGGCTCCTCCAAGGAGGGCCAGGGAGGAGGAATGGGGAGACGGTGCACCTGAGACAGGCTGTGTCCCATCAGCCCTCCTTCCCACCCCGCTCCGATTCATCTATTCCCTGGTGGGAACCAGCCCCAACCAGGGGCCTGCACACAAATCCATGCATGGTGACCCAGGGCTGCCGGAGCCCTCAGAACTGGTGTTCTGGGATGTTCTGGTGCCCATCTGGATGTGGGCAGGCTGAGGTCCTTATTCCTGGGGAAAAGGGCAGCAGGGCTGGCAACTGTGGGGACCCTGCAGGCCCATCGCAGGTTGTGGCAACTTGTAATTCATTTTGGTCTCAGGGAAGGAACCCTGGGTCATCTGTGGAGGAAGAAACAGACAGAAGCAGGCCTTAGAAGATAGCCTTTAAAGGAACCGTTTTCAACCAAGTCTGGCCACTCTAATGACTCAGCTTCCCCTCCTTGGGCAGGCTGATAGTCAGGAATGGGGGGCACTGACTCCCCATTCCTCGAACTGTAAACCAGACTGCCTCCCTATACCCAGCACTGACTGCCTCAGCTATGCAGAGCAAAGGCCGTAGATGGGGGGCACCTATGGGATGTGGTGGGGGAGCAGTGAGTCAGGGACCAGCCAACCAGAAGAACAGTACAGAGGCAGCCTTGGACAGCCCTGATGGCTTTCCAGTGTCCCCCAATACCAGGATCTGGGTCTCACTACCAAACTGTTTACAGCCTCCCAAGAGCTGAGATTACAGGCATGAATCACCACGCCTAGTCTCAATTGCTATCTCAGCGCACCCCAGAGGCGGGGCCGGCAGGGCAGGCCCAGGGATTGAACCCCAGTCCCTGTACCTGCTTGCAGGCGCTTTTATCCGCTAAGTTATATGGCTGGCCCTTCCAGTCCTTTTTATTTGTTATTGTGACCCTTAAGTCACTAAATTGCTCAGGTTGGGTTTGAACTTGTGATCCTCCCTCAGCCTCCAGGTATTCTGGGATTACAGATGCACCTATGTCACCATGGTCCACTTGTGATGGCTTTAAACCCAACAACTCTGCTCCCAAACCTCTGCGGGCTCCAAATGCAATCATTTGCTCTTGATCCTGCCTGCGGAGCTGGGGATAGCAGATAAAACATCTGCCTTGTGGAGCCAGGCTGTTGAGATCTACTGGTCACTGCCACCTCCACCTCAGGGGAGTCACCTAGTCCTCAACACAAGGAATGGTCTGTGTCTTCTAGAACCACAGAGACTGGGGATCAAGCCCCACTCCACACAGAGCAGCAGCCAGGCATGAGGCGAGTTTTCCAACCTTTTGTTCATCTCCTGTACAGGGGGGATGACCCGGGAGAGGAGGGCTTAGTGAAGGACACAGCCCAGGACCTGGCAGGTGAAAGGGCTCCAACATCCTAGGATTACTTAGATTATCCCACTTCATCAACCCTAAAAGCAATCCTCTGCCCACATTTTTATATCTATAGAATGGAGGCATATTTTACATCAACTGTGATTTTAAAATCCTCCTGTCAGCCAGGAGTGATGATACACACCTAGAATCACAGCGCTCTGGGAGGTCAAGGCAAGAGGACTGAAACTTTGCACCCAGCCTGGGTAACTTACTGTCTTTAAAAGAAAACATTCAAAAAGGGGTTAAGCCAGCTGGGAAGATAGCTTGGCAGTCTAAGTGCCTGCCTGGCAAGCGCAAAGACCCAGGTTCAATCCCTGGTCTCACTGGGTTAAACCAGGTATAGTGACAGACACCTGTAATCCCAGTGTTGGGGAGGCTGAGACAGGAGGATTACTATGAGTGTGAGAGACCCTGTACCAAATAAATAATTTCTTAAAGGGGAAGGGGATTGAAGGTATAGTTTAGCAGGAAGGCCTCGGACTCAATCCCCAGTACTGCAAAAATAAATAGCTTCCCATCATTAAATTGGCAGCTACTTGTAAGCTGCTGCCATATAAAAGTGAGGCTTCTTGTAATTTATGGCAGCTCAGATTTTATGAAATACAGTTTTCTGCCTGTCCCTCTCCTGGAAAGATCCCGCCCTACTTCCCTCCCCAGTGGGCACTCACAGCTCTGTGTCTTCTAGGGCAGGTGGCCGCTCCAGAGCTTGCCTTCGCCTCCGCACGGCCCCCAGGATCTTCTTGCGAGGCCCCAGGGGGACGCTGATGCTTCGGAGATCAAGGTCTGAGCACAGCATCAGCGCCTCCAGGTCGATCTTCTCCTGCCTTAGGAGGGAGGCAAAGTCCTCCATGTGCAGTGAGGCCAAAAAGGTCTCGAGCGGGCTAGTCTCGGGCTCCAGGTCCTCGTCCAGGCCCAAGTCCATCTCATCCCAGGGCAGCTCCTCCCCACAGCTGCGGTCCTGCAGGCTGTTGGCACTGCCCAGGCTGTCGTCGTCCAGGCTGGGGGAGCTCTGCAGCCGACCCCGTGGTGTGCCCGTCCCGTCCAGGCCCCCATCCTCACGGCCCAGCCCGTGCAGACCACTGCTTAAGTAGTTTCTGCGGAACACCATGGTGCCCAGGCCGGGGCGGGTAAACAGGGAGTCGTGGCCTGAGTCGGTGCTGACCTCCGAGTGGGCAGGCTCGGCTGCCAGCGTGGCACGGGAGACGCTGTCCTCATCCGAGAGGAACATGTCCCGGAGCGGGGCACGGCCCCACTCCTTGGGGTTGGCGTAGGTGCCCGGGCGCACGAACATCACGTCGCTGCCCAGCTGCAGGCCAGAGAGCGAGCGCACGCTCTTGCGCCCGTCCTCCGAGACCTTAAAGGTTCCCTCACCGCCCTGCTTACGCCGCTCCAGCTTCTTCTGGATCTTGGTCTTGCCCCTGGCCGTGCCATGCAGCGTTGCCTGCGAGTAGGGCAGCTGGCTGCCCAGAGCCAGGTGCTGCAGCCGGCGGCTCAGGGTGCTGGACGTGAGGCTGGAGAAGCTGAGCGTGTCCGAGCGTTCTGCCAGTTCCCGCCGGTAGCGCCGCTCCATGCGCTCGTGGTGCTTGCGCTGCATCTTGGCGCACTCCCGGATGCGCCGCTCCGCCTCGCGGAACGCCTTGTCCTTCAGCTTGCCCACCAGTTTGGGGTTGAGGCTGCTCTGCTTGGCCGCAATGGAGTCCAAGTAGCGCACGCACTCCATGTGGCCCTTCATAGCTGCCATGTCCAGCGGTGTGTGGTAGTCGTTGTCCAGGCACCAGATGTTGGCCCCAAAGGACACCAGGAAGGACAGGCAGTGCAGGTGGCCATTGGCAGCTGCCAGATGCAGGGGTGTGTTGCCCCAGATGTCGCATTTGTCCGGGTCACCCCTGCAGGGAGAGCAGTGGGGAGGAATAATGAGAGATTAGCAAACTCAAGTAGAAGTCTGCAATGGCTGGTGGCGGGAGTCGCTGGGGAGGGGGCTACCAGCCTTATCGAGATCCTCCACGGGCACACTGGGCCCAAAGGAATCTTTGGAACTGAGATCGCTCCTCTGATTTCAGGGTCTTTGCCTATTCTGCGAGTCACCAAATGCTCGGGGATTGAGCGAGCCCAGGAGAAAACGGCCCGGGGCCCAGGGGCGGGGCGACGAGGGGGCGGGGCCAGACGGGGCCTTCCCCCAAGAGCGTGGAGGGCTGGGAATCTCAGGGGATAAATATTTGATGCTCAGAGAGAACCGAGTGAATTATTCATGGGCCCAGCGGGGAGCTGGCCCAGAGGGGTGGTGGGCCAGGGCCGAGTCTGGGTCTCTAGGCAGGTGCGGTGAGTGTGGCCATATGCGGCAGGGTGCTATGAAAGAGGACCAGAGGGTGGTGTGTGCTGGGCCTGAGCCTGGGAGTAGACGCAAGGGGTGCGCCCACGTGTGGCTGCGTCCACGTCTACGGGGAGCAGGGCCAGGCCTGGCAACGCCAGTGTTAGAGCAGGTGTCGGGGCTTGGCCCCGGCCAGGAGGGGACTGCAGGGGCAGCCAGGACCGGAGTGGGGAGGAGGAAGGTCGGGACCTGGCTGGGCTGCTCTCCCTTGCTCAGGCTGCCCTGCCTTTGGGGGTGCTGCAGGGCTGGCTGTCCCCCTAACACCCTCTCAGCCCGAAGATGCCCCCAGGGCAGTCCCAGTGCTCCCCCAGAGCCCTTGCCTTCCTCTGGCACCTAGCACAGGGACCCAGCCTGACACTAATGAGGCCACGAGGCCACCCCAGGGCTGGAGGAAGAATCGCTCCCTTGTCTCCACATCTCCCCCATCAACCCCTGCTCTTCATCCCCTGCTGCTCGCCAAAGCCAGTGAGGCAGGGTTGGGAGGGAGCCGCCCTGCCTCAGACCCACAACCACAGAGCATAGAGCCTTGCTTCTGTAGGACTTGGGGGTTGGCACACCGAAGGGGAACTCTTGTCTCCTCCAGGCCCCTTCATGAGACTCTCGTGAGTGTCACTGTGTGCCCTCCTGGAGTGGCCTGGTGGAACTTGTCTCTGCTGCTAGGCCTAAGGAGCCCACATGAAGACAGGGCTCCCTGGCAGCCACCAGCTGTTCAAAACCACAGGCCAGTCCCTGCTCCTGTCTTCCAGGCCCAGACTGCCACACTAACTCTCTTGGGGCATCCCTTCTGTCCCTCCTCCTGTCCAGGTCACCCTCATATTTATCCCATTCAGGTATTCACCCCAGCCTAACTTATCTTATCAACCCATCTGCGGGTGGCAGAGTTGTTCCCAGTGGTGTGATTTATCCCACCCCACTCTAGATCCCAATTCAGTGGCCCTGGGCCCTGCATCCCTCAACCATCACCCCAAACCCCTTCTTGGCTCTGACACCTGTGCTGTATGCCCACTCTCCTGGGAGGACAACTCCAGAGATGGATGGGGCACAGAAGCCCCATCTTGCCATGGGTTGGCCACAGGGAGGGGCACAGAGAGAGGTAACAGGAAGGCTGAGCCAGTGACATTTGGCACTGTGGACAGTGTCCATAAATCCCAGAGGAGCAGGGCGAGGGAGAGTGGTGTGAGGCTTGGCCTGTGGGGGCTGGGCTCTCAGACAGGAGTGGGAAGGGGCGCCTTCTCTTTCCTATCTCCACCGCTGGGCCCTCTGAGGCTTCCCACCCTTAAGGCTGGTTCCCACTTGCCCCCTCACCTTGCTTCCAGGTACCCCCACCCAGGAGACAGCTCCCACCTTCCTCCACTGCAGCTCCCTTCCCGACAAAAATGGGCCCTCAGATCCCACTTTCTCCCCCTTCTCACCCCACATCCAGGTCAGGAGTGTCACATGCCTCCGCTTATGTTCCCATCCACGTGTGTCTGTCCAACCTACTCCCAGGTCCCCCCTTAAGAGTCCGTTCATAGGAAAAAAGGCAGCTCCGAGGAGGGGGTCAGGATGCCACGGGGTCTGCGGGGGTATCGCAGGGCCTGGCACCCCACAACCGTCCCCCTCCTCTGCTGGCCAGGTGGAGGGCACTCACCCGCGGCTCACGATGAGACGCAGAGACTCCAGGTTGCCATGGTAGGCAGCCCAGAGCGTGGGGGTCATGCCATCCTCGTCGGGGGCATTCAGCTCCTTCCGGGTGGCCTCCTTGAGGAGCTCTAGGTAGCCATCCCGGGCGGCCCGGTGGTACTGATCGTTCATGGCGCCCGACTAGGACGCGTCGGGCAGGGGGCACAGGGAAACGCCCCCCGCGGGGGAGGGCAGCGGGGTTAAGGCTGGGGCATGGGGCTGGGGGAGGGGGCCTGGCAGGGGCCAGGGCCGCCAGCCTCCCGCTGCCGCAGATGGAGGGTGCGGAGCACCAGAGCCGCGCGGCTACCGGGACATCTGAGCCGCTCACCCGCAGGCTGGCGGGGCGGAAGGAGGGGGAATCTCCCGCCGCCCAGGGAGCCGCCCCCGGGCTTCCCCTGGGTCCTAAACACCTTGCTTCAAAGGGTACACAGGGCCAGTGTTAGAACGGGTGATCCCCCGAGGTCCTTCTCTCTCTAAAAATGCACACCAGAGCGCTCCCCCGCCCCGTGAGGTCCGTCCCCACTACAGTTCAGGAACTGAGGATCCCAACTTTCCAACCCATTAAAAGAACGGGCCACACCAGGCATGGAGGCGCATGTCTGTAATCCCAGCACTCAGGAGGCTGAGGTAGGAGGATTGCCTGGAATTCGAGGCCAGTTTGGGCTACGTGCTGAGTTCAGGACCAGCCTGAACTACGTAGCTAGACCTTGTCTCAAAAAAAAAAAAAAAAAAAAAAAAAAAAAAAAAAAAAAAAAGAAAGGAAGAAAAGAAAAGAAAAAAGAGCCAGCCTGCTAGCTCAGCGGACTAAAGCACCGGCTGAAGTAGTGTGCAGCAGCTGGGGTTCGATCCCTGACATGCCGTGCTGGCCTCGCCCCCGAGATTGACACGGGGCATGATGGCGCAAGCTTGTAATCCCAGCAGTTGGGAGGCTGAAAAAAGGGGAATCACTATGAGTCCGATCTACATAGTGAGACCCTGGAGACCCTGTTCTAAATACAGAAAGCAAAGCAAAGCAAGCAAGCGAGCGACTGGAGAGGAGTGTCTGAAGGCAGGGTAAAGGGGCAGTCTTGAACCCCAGGGCAGTTCACATGAAGACACGAGGAACGGTCCCTGCTCAGGGGCCCAGACGCCCTCCAGCAGGGGGCGCCAAAGGACCAGAGGTGGGCCTGGCGCACCGCATGGGAACTTCCCCACGCCCCAGACTTCGAAGCATCCAGCCGAGCAGCAGAGGGGGGTGCGTTAGGGACAGAAAAAGAAGAAACTCGAGCATTCTGCGGGCAGGTGGGGAAACGGCAGCTAGTGTCGCGATCTCGGGCTAGCAACCCGGATCACAAGCGCAGCCTGCGCAGGGCCTGGAGGACTTGTGGGTACCTGGGGGCTCTGGCCCGAGCGACGGCGGCGCACCGGGTAGCGGTGGGGTTGGGGGCGGGGTGCCCTCCAGCTGCCGCACTGCGGGACCGCGCCCGTCCAACCCGGCCTCGAGGGGTGACAGGGCCTTAGGGAGGGGGGTTGTTCTTAACAGATAAATATAAATCTCGCTTTATCTGACTCCCGCGCGCACTTCCCCAAATTCAGCCCGGAGAAAAGATGGGTCATGTGAGTGGGCCTGAGAGGTTTATGGAGCCGAGCTCCCACCGCTGTAAATCACTCAGCACTGTCGGATATAAAGCGCCCGTCCAGCCTGGTGTAGGAGAGAGGAGACGCGCGCCGCCCCCTGCACCCCAACTCCGCGCAAGCTACCAGGCCAGTCAGGTGCGTGCCCGGGGCAGGTGCACAGTGGGATTCGGGGAGTGGGGCCGACGGGGCGCCCCTTCTTTCCTTCTGCGTTGAGGCTCGCTTCCTCCAGCACTGGGATTAGGAACTCCCTGGTCCCCAAATCTAGAGATAGATGAGGACTGAGGACGGGGAGGCCCTCGGGGCTGAGCTAGGATCTGTTGCGCTCCTCTCCCGCAGTGACCCCTTCAGCCTCCTCACGTCTCCCCAACATGTCGGAAGCGCCCGGCCTGGGCCCCAAAGAGAGCGTGCCAGCACCGCGGGCAGCCCCCCGCGAGGTGTGGAAGAAGGGCGGCCGGCTGCTGTCGGTGCTGCTGGCCGTCAACGTTCTGCTGCTCGCCTGCACGCTCATCAGCGGGGGCGCCTTCAACAAGGTGGCCGTGTACGACACGGACGTGTTCGCGCTGCTCACCACCATGATGCTGCTGGCCGCGGTCTGGATCCTCTTCTACCTCCTACGCACTGCACGCTGCCCAGACGCTGTGCCCTATCTGGATGCGCACGCGGGACCCATCTGGCTCCGAGGTGCCTGGGGGAGGTGGGCGCAGGAGGGAGCTGCAGGCTGGGACTTTGGGAGGACCAGCGGAAGGATAGAGAAGTTCCCTGCGGAGAGCTGGGTGCTGGGGGGCGGGGGATGCTGTGACAGAAGGAGGAGGGGACGGAAAGGGCTCCTGGAAGAAGTGAGATGAACAGAGTAACGGGACAGGGGTCGAGGTGGGCTTCTTGCCTTGTCTAGGATTAGAAAGAGGTAGTGGAGGGAGGGCCTTTGACGGAGAGGGGCTACAGAAGACAGTATCAGGGCCGGGGGTACAGCTCAGTGGACTAAGCGCTTGCTTAGGTAAGCACAGGGGCCAGGGTTTTATCCCTGGCCTGGCTTGCCTCACTGGCCCCACCCTCAGGCGCGCTGAGCCTGTGATGGAGGCCCATCGTGGTGGCACATGCCTGTAATCTCAGCACTAAGGAGGCAGAAATTAAGAGGATCATTATGAGTTCGAGCTGCATAGTGATACCCTACACACACACACACACACACACACACACACACACAGTAGTAACTGGAGTCTGTGAGGGTCCTTTCTCTTGTCTAGGGAGCCTGTGAGAGGAAGACCTAATAGGACAACCAACCACTCAATCACTCATCCATCTTTCAGGCCTTCCATTTGCTCATTTGCTTATTCATCCATCCATCCATCCATCCTCCCACCCTCCTCATCCATCCATCCACTCTCCCACCCATCCATCTTCCCAGCCTCCCATCCGTCCATCTATCCACCTACTCATTCATACTCTCATCCTTCTATCCAACCATTCATCATTTCTTTGCCCATTTGCCTATTCATCCATCCTCATCCATCCTCCCACCCTCCCCATTCATCCAGTCACCCACTGCACCTTCCCACCTAGCCACCCACCCTCAGAACCTGTGTTCCATTTGACAAGCCTTCTGTCCTCCCTCTCTGACCCTCTCTGACTCCTCCCCTAGGTGGCCTAGTGCTGTTTGGAATCTGCACTCTCGTCATGGATGTCTTCAAAACCGGCTACTACTCCAGTTTCTTTGAGTGCCAATCGGCCATCAAGATCCTGCACCCTCTCATCCAGGCTGTGTTCGTCATTGTCCAGGTAGGTGGAAAGAATGTCACAAAGCATGGCAGAAAGGAGCCAGTGTTTGGCAAGAGGTCAGAGACCCCTTGAGCTTTCCTCCTGCCCTGAACAATTCAGTAGGAAAGTACTGAGGTAGGGATCATGTGAGTCCATACAGGAGCAGGCATGATGAACCACTGGGGATTAAAGTAATAGTAAATGGGAGCTCCTACATACAGGCACTGAGATTTTACTTCATCCTAAGAAATACCAGTAGTTAACACCTAGGAAGTATGAGTTGAGACAGCTGGCCCTTCCTGCTAGCACTTGGTCTGCCCTCCTTGCAGGTGCTTGAGAGCATCGGTCTCAGCCCAGGTCATGCTGGAAACATGGCTATTTGGCATCAGCATGGCTCCTATGTTTGGTGTAGTGTAAGAAGTGGGAGTGTATGGGGGGTAGTCTCAGTCTTTAGAAACTGAGACTTTCTAAAGTTCTGTTTCTTTTGTAATGTGTTGCATAAAGACCATTTTGAAAGATCTGATTAAGCTGAGGCAAAACTGGTTTTATATGAGACCCCAAGAAACCATAGCCCTGTGGCATGACAGCGTGACCACATGGATTGTGCCCTCCCCTGAGGCATCACCCTGCTGCTTGAGTGTCCACAGTTTGACACGTATGTAACCTTGGCATTCATATGAATTTTATTTTTTTACATTTCATGAGTTTGAAGAATAATCAGGTAAGATAAAAACACAAGTACTCCCATATTCACAAAGCCCCTAACAGCAATTCACTGGTAGCCAGGTGAGAACAAGGCCTTGCAGGGAACAAAGGAAGAGGATGGGCAGGAGATGGGATCAAAGGCAGTGAGAAGTCACCAGAGACCTTTTCTACCTAGATGAAGACCTAGTGGGAGGCTCGCCCTGCTCCCAGGAAGAAATAACAAGGTAGCCAAAGAGCTACTTTTCCTTCCATTACTCTCCCCTCCAAAAAAAACTTACCCAAACCAGAGTTTTACAGTTGACATTTTACAAACCTTCAAAGAACCTTTAGAGAACCACTATTTCGTACAAGCTATACCATAGAGTAGAAGTAGAAAATGTTCCTGGTCTCCTTTGGTAAAGCTAAAATGAACCCAATCATCCAGAAGGTCCATGGGGGTGGAGAGACCATGACCCTGGCTGTGGACATGGGCTCTCTGCAGTTTAGCCCACTTACAGAAAAATGACCCTCCCTCCCTCCCTCCCTCGCTCTCTCAACACAGACTTACTTTCTCTGGGTCTCCGCTAAAGACTGCATTCACGTCCACCTGGATCTGACCCGGTGAGAACTGCAGCTCAAGTCTGTGCCCAGCCTGTCACCTGGCATAAGACATGAGGGCTCACGGAGGGCTCCTCCCTTTGCCTTCTGGGTGGGGTTTCAGCCAAGGTCCCCAGTGTATCAGCCTGATTGCACTACACTGTGCCCTCCCCCTTTCCTATATGTGTGTGCAGGGGGTGGAGTGGGATGGGGGGACACAGCAGGGCTTGAGCCTCTGGAAACCCCCAGTCCTCTCTTGGGTGGCATCCTGGCCTTCCAAACAACCCTACTTCTCTCAAGGACCTGGCTGACCTTTCTCACCTCGCTAGGGACCCAAAGTCTCATGGGCCTCTTTGCTTCCCTCCACCTCCAAACAGATGTGGACTGATGTTCACACTCACCACCAACCTGGCCATCTGGATGGCAGCTGTGGTGGATGAATCTGTGCACCAGGCGAACTCCCATAGCAATGTCAGCCACACCCGCCTCAGCCCTGACTGTGAGTTCTCCCTTGACCCTGACCCCCTGGCTGCCAGGCTTTAGGCACAGGTGCTTTGTGGATTTGTAGCCATCACAAGGCTACAGGGGGCAAAGGTGGCAGCTAGGGGCCTCCTCCCACTCCAGGCTCTGCCTCAGAAGTATGGGTGGAGGGGACAGGAGAGAGGA